AGTATCAAAAGGATTTTTGAGCTAATTCTTGCGAAGTGGTGGTCCTGATATGAGTTTTTGAGATTAGGATTTCGGTATTTCCGATAATAGATTTATCATGGACAAATGGCTGGGGTTTGCAGAGAAAGTTTGACATTCCCCAAGGGAATCTGTTTAGTTTGTAGAAGTAGGAGAGTTGTAGGAGGTGTAGAATAGTTGTAGAGAAGTCTGCATGGTTGATGATGTCATGATCGTCAATTCCTTGTAATGGATTGACTGTGCTGCTGACGTATGTGAGGTGATTGGTATGTTTGCCTCCGCAGAATGAAGCGGGGTGAATTTGGGACGACGCGTACTCAGTAATTAGGCAATTTGAAAGGATGGAGCCGTTTCTCTGCAAAAGAAAGTAGTTTTTTGTTTTTAGAACTGGCTTTACTAGCAAACTTACTGGTAATGAGACGATTTAGCCCTATCTAGTAAACAGGGTTATTTTTATTATTTATCTTTGTTTTGTTTGTATCTTCGTATATCTGTAAGACAGTGGAAATAAATGTCATATGAAAAAACTCTGGAAATGTCGAAAGACAAAATACTAAATGGCTGTTAGAAAAATAATATGTAAGCAATAGGTAATAATAAGATTAGACAAATAAGTGAGAATAGAAAGATATTCGTCGTCAAATGAAAAAGTAAGTGAACGCTAGAAAATATGGTAGTTGAGGTTAATCCGATGAATAAGCATGCAACTGCCTATTAAAATAGTAGGATTAAGAAGAACTATTTTTTATTAGTAAATTATTATGTTAGAGATTATATTTATCCTAATGCTTATCTCAAAAGATAGCCGAGATACTTTAAATGAAAATGGCTTGTGCAATAGCTTTAATTTTAGATATTATTTGTGTTAGGTACATACACTGGCATGCTTTATGTGTTTATGACGGTTTTATACAATAAATATGCCGACACGTGTTATCTTTACCGACATAGGTATATATTTTTGTGTACTCTGCATCCCGATGGTTCTGAATTAAAATCGTTTTGTTAAATAAAACCAGAACATATATAAAACATATATAAAAGCCCAGCTATTGAAACTGCCAATCGTAGTAATCATTATATTATTTAAATTTTTTCTCATTATAATGGAATAATCTCATTCTAATCAATATAATGGAATATTGACAAATAATTTAAAATATGTTGGTGACACAGTTGTAATTGCTCATATTTTAGAGAAATTTGCACCATTTACTTAACAAAATATCAGCTGCAGGAGATCTGTTGGGCTTAAAAATTAATAACAACAAAAAACAAAAAAAATTCACTGTTAGCCCATCTATTCCAGCTGCTTTACCGCTTTTCATTTTTTAATTGTAGATTCTACTGCTTCTAAAAGGATTTCTGGTACATCTTTTTGGTTACTGATAAGTGTTTCACTTGTTTGGTGAGAGAGAGCGTGAGACAGTGTTTGGTTTTTTTAAGTGTTTCAGGGGCTTTTATAGTTCGCTGTAGAATTTAGTCACGAGTTGTATTATCTCATTTCTGTCTGTAATTCTGGTGTTTTTGTTTGCTAGAGCAACGATTGGTTTCTTCCCAATGATCAATGCTTTTCTTGTTTTCTTATAGTTTTTACTGTTTTACTTATTGTCTTACAAAGTTCTGTGTATTCTATTCTCTGTATGCTTACTTTCATTTCCCTTCTTTGTTTTAGCATTATTTTAGTTTTATCAGACAGTTTAATATGTTCAGTTTGTTGTTACAGCCTCTGATTTCTTTAGCACTATCAAGAATGATTTCCATTAAATGAGAGCTGTTGATTTGGTCATCTTCATCAATTGTCTCACATTCATTTACAGTTCTCACCTTTGAAAGTGCGTGTCGGAATAAAAGGTTATTCCTAGTATCGTTCAATAGTCTCTGTGTAAGTCTTTGAATTTGCGGTTTACCTAATTCGCTATCGAAGAGAGGTCTCACGACTTCTTATTGCTTCGTATAGATGTCGCTTCTAGTGTAATTGGCTGCTATTTTAATTATAACGGCCAACTCCTAGAATACATTTCATTTTAGTTTCAACTTCCTCAAAAGCTACATTAGCAAAGGAATGCCAAACGTTAAAACGTTTAAAACAAATAAAGAAGTTAATGTGAAATTAAGGAATAAATAATAAAAGTAAAATATAAAACGTTTTAACGTTTGGAATTCCTTTCTTCAGGTAGCTGTTGCTTCTTCCGTGGTTATAGTTAGTTGTTGCGTTGGAAACAATCTTCTTCTTCTTCTTCTTCAAGTTCCACTCCTATCGGAGATTCGAAATCATTCTTGCGATTATAATTTTATTGGTTACTCGCCTGAATAGTTCAATTGAACTGCATCCAAACCATTCACGGAGATTGCGTAGCCACGAGATTTTACGTCTTCCTACGCTTCTTCTACCTTTTATTTTACCCTGCATTATATTCCTTAGTAGTTCGTACTTTTCACCTCTCATGATGTGCCCCAAGTATTCCAGTTTCCTGATTTTTATGGAATTTAAAACTTCGCATTGTTTTCCTAGTTGTTCGAGAACTTGTTCGTTTGTTTTGCGATCCATCCATGATATTTTCAAAATACGTCGGTAACACCACATTTCGAATGCTTCTAGGTTTTTAATGTTGGATTTTTTAAGTGTCCAAGCTTCAATTTCATACAAAATTGTAGAGAAAATATAACATCGAAGCATTCTTATCCGGAGCCATATATTGATATCGCGATTACAATAAAGTTTTCTCATTCTATTAAAAGTTGACCGCGCAATTTCAATGCGGCACCTTATTTCTTTTGTCTGATCAGTATCTTCTGCGATCCATGCTCCAAGGTATTTGTACGAAGATATTTGTTTAATTTCTGTATTATCTAGTACTAGCTTAACTTTGATGCTTTGTGCTTTTGTAAATACCATGAACTTTGTTTTCTTCAAATTGATTTTTAGTCCATAATCGTTGCAATATATATTGAGTTGTTCAGCAAGGTGTTGCAGTTCTTCTAGTGTTCCTGCCAGAAGGACGGTGTCGTCAGCATATCTTATGTTATTAAGTGGCTCACCGTTTATTATAAGGCCCACGGCGAATCTGGATATCCTTAGTCAGTTCGTTTTCAACTTTCACTTTTGCTGTTTGATTCCAATAGAGGTTACAGATGATTCTAATGTCTCTACTGTCTATGTTTTTATTTAATAAAATTTCTTTAAGTCGATTATGCTGCACTCTGTTAAATGCCTTCTCAAAATACATGAAACAGGCATATACTTCCTGATTAATATCTAAGCATCTCGCGAAAGAACACTAAATGCAAACAGTGCATCTCGTGTTCCCAGTCCTTTCCTAATTCCCATTTGTGTATTACTTATGCCTTCATCTAATTTCTTATGTATTCTATTGTGAATTACTTTTAAAAACAATTTTAAGACATGACTCATTAAGGCTATGGTGCGATGTTCATTGCACTCCTTTGCATTGGCTTTTTTGGGAAGCAGTATGAATGTTGATTGGAGCCATTCTTTAGGTATTATACCTGTTCTATATATGGTATTGAATAGATCCAAAAGAAGATCAATAGATTCAGTATTCACAATTTTAAGTAATTCGATAGGAACATCAGGTCTGGGAGATTTACCACCTTTAGCTTGTTTCATTGCATATTCAATTTCTTCTCGTATAATGTCATGCCCAGTATCATCCTTAAACTCTTTTGGTGCTTCTGTTCTCTCTTTGTCTTCAAAAAGTTGTGCTATATATTGTGTCCATCTCTGCATTTTTTGGTTTATATCTGTTATAAGTGCACCCCTTTCATCTCTTAGTTGCCTAGTTTGAAGTGTTTTTCTCATTCCTGTTAATTCTCTAATTCTTTTATGCATGTTAAAAAAGTCATATTTTTTCTCAATTTCTTCTTGTTCTTAGCACTGCTCATGTAACATTCTTTCCATTTTTATTCTCTTTTTTATTAATCGATCAGTTTCATTATATTTAATTGGATTTTTTGTTTTGAATGATTTTCTTTCATTCATTAATAGTAGTATTTCTTCAGTCATCCAATCTTTATGTTTTCTATTCTTTGGTTTTAAGTTTTCATTTGCTGTTTTAATTATTGCTACTTTTATATTTTCCCATTTCTGATCAATGTTATAGCTACTTTTATTCAGTTCTTGGGCATTATGTACATTTTCAGTAAGAGTTTTTACAGTTTGTTCCTTTGTTTGTGGTTCCCTTAATCTCTTAATATCAATTCTACTTTGTGTGGCTTTTTTAACCAGTTTTAATTTGGTGGAAACAATCAGGGTCTTCTAACTCTAATGCCACGAATTGCTCGCATTGCTTCTGTAGTGATCCTTTCTTAACTTAAAATGCTCCTTTTCTAACTTGGCTGCACCGAAGGTTGACCATTTCTGACTACCAATAGTCAGAAATACACACCTACGTTTGCCTTCCATCAATATACCTGTTTTGTTTTTTGTTTCGTTCACGGAAGGCGATATCTTAATGAACGGTTTCCTAGGTAATTAATAGATTGGACGAAGAGGTTTTATTGAATGGCCAACAAGATCCGAAGGTCCAGTCAGAGTGGACTTTTTTAAATAATCAATAACCCTGTATATCGAATTCGCCAACGACCTATCCTAATTAAAATCCAAGTTGCAATTGATTAGACCACTCTTTGTTAGTATTGAAATTATTTCTGCTGAACGCGAATGAAATTTATTTGCTCGACATTACGAAACAGCCATATTGCAATATTACATACTCAACTTTTTTTTACTTATGAGATATGAATAAAAATAGAGTTGACCTAGGAATACACATTAGCTCAGCTTTTGTACTTTACACAGTACGATTTATAAAATCGTTAACAGAATAATTTTTTTGGACAAAGGGATATTGACATGCGTTTCTCAATATGAATGTTTTGATATTTCAGCTAAACAAAATATAAATCAAAGCATTTTAACTGTTTTAATATTGAATGAAAATATTAATATTATAAATAAAATGTTTATTATTTTGAGTAAGTCAATTAAACATATTTTGTTAAACAATATTAATGATATGGTAATCGATCGATGTTAAAAACATTACAGTTTTTAAAACAACCGCAAGTGGAATAACTTAATAATTTCTACATCACCAACAACTTTGCTATTAAATCTCTTTATCTCTCCCTCTTTCTCTCTCTATCTGTAACTTCACATTGCTTTGTGGGTCTTCGCTGGCTGCACGACTTACCTCCACCTACATAGATCAATCATATCTTCTCGCCAGAGTTGTACTTCCATGGGATGGAAATCTTTTAAAATGTTAGATAATGTTTGGTTGATTATAGGTTCCAGTTCTTCATTTGTTCTAATTCGATAGTGTCCGGTTATTCTTTCAACTGTAGGGCCATATATTTTTCATAGTATTTTGCCTTCAAAATTATGTTTTATTTAACAATACTTGTTTTGTTTTATGGTCCAGGTTTCTGAGCCGTAGCTTCGATAATCTCGACAGTATCTTTGACTTTAGTATGTCTCGTAATGTATAGTAGCAATCGTTAAGTTTCTGTATTCGGGCCCGTATTTCTCTGTTTATGTTTAAATGTAAAAACATAATAACTGAGAAAGCAACAAAAATATTGGGAAAACCAAACCAGTTAAAGAAAACGAATGGTTTGACAAGGAGTGCCAAGAAGCAACAGATAACAAAAACAGGGCATACCTAAAGACAAATCAAGCTGGATGCACAAGAAGAGCAAAGGAAGAATACCGGACACTAAGAAGAGAAGAAAAACGATTACGTACAAGAAAAAAAAGACAATTTGAGCAAAAGTAGTTGGAAAGCACAGAATGGCTAAGAAATCAAAATGAAACTCGAAAGTTCTACAGAAATCTAAACAAAATGCGCAAAGCGTTTAAGCCAAAAATATAAGGAGCTGTAAGGATGTAGAAGGAAACATCCTAAATGATACAGCCTCAATCCTAAACAGATGGGTTGAATTTTTCGATGCAAAATTGAATGGCCATCATATCGAAGAAGCAGATAATACCCTAGCAAATCGAAATAATTGGAATCCTTTCAACCCAAACAAAAGACCACCTACTATCGAAAACGTTGCCCAAGCCATTAAAAAGCTTAAAAATAGTAAATTACCAGGAGTTGATCAAATTTGCAGTGAGCTCTACAAGAATGGTGGCAATGCCCTACTACGGACACTGCATAAGCTTTTACTTCTTGTTTGGCATAATGAGACCATGCCTTGTGAATGGTCTCAAGGCGTGATATGCCCGTTACATAAAAAAAGTGACCAGCTCCAGTGTGACAACTATAGAGGTATAACCCTGTTAACAACTGCTTACAAAATACTAGCAAATATTCTCTACGAAAGGTTGCAAGTTTACACAGTGGGCATAATTGGTAAATATCAAGTTGGATTCACTCCAGAAAAATCAACAATTGACCAGATTCATTCAATAAGACAGATTCTCGAGAAAACATTAGAATTCAATATTGAAACCCATCACCTATTCGTCGACTTCAAGGCCGCATACGACAGTGTCAAGAGAACAGTGGTATACCAATCAATGCATGAGTTTGGTATACCAGAGAAACTTATCCGACTAACGAGAATGACAATGTCTAACTTAGAAGCCACTGTTAGAATACAGGGAGAGAGTTCTAGATCCTTTGAGATAAAGGATGGACTCAGACAAGGAGATGCTCTGGCTTGCCTCCTATTTAATATTGCCTTAGAAAAGGCAGTCCGAGATACACGAATTAGGAATGGCGGTACTATTTACAATAGATCGATACAAGTCTTAGCATATGCTGATGACATTGACATAGTAGGGCGTAGCAAGCGAGATGTTGAGCAATATCTCCTAGAATTGGAAACAGCGGCGAAACAGATCGGTCTAGTCATCAACGAAGACAAAACCAAGTACATGTTGGTTACAAGGGATCCGATAACAAATGAGGAACAGGAAACAGTCTTTGGAAGTCATACCTTTGGACGTGTTGACAACTTCACATACCTTGGGTCGCTATTGACTGCTACCAATAAAACAAGCGAAGAAATCAAAAGACGAATAAATCTTACAAATAGGGCATACTATGGACTCCAAAAGCATTTCCACTCAAGAAACATTCAAAGAAAAACTAAAATTATTATATACAAAACATTGCTGAGGCCGGTCCTCACATATGGAGCAGAAACATGGACTCTAACGCAGAAAGATGAAAGACTTTTGGGAATATTTGAGCGTAAAATACTCCGCAAAATATTTGGAGCTGTAAACGACCAAGGGCAGTGGCACAGAAGATATAATTTTGAATTGTATCAGATCTTTGATAAGTCAGATGTCATAACGTTCATTAAAACACAGCAACTTAGATGGGCTGGACACATAATACGAATGCCAGAAAATACCATTGCTAAAAAGCTAACCACAGGAACACCTGTAGGAAAAAGAAGCAAAGGCCGACCGCGAATTAGGTGGTTAGATGGAGTAGAAACCGACTTACGAATATTAAAAATCAGAAGATGGCAACATGTTGCCAAAAATCGAACAGAATGGCGACGAATCTTAGAGCAGGCCAAGATCCACAAAGGATTGTCGAGCCAAAGATGATGATTTCTCTGTTTATGAGGTTGTCTTGAGTTATAGTGGCACCTAGATACTGGAATTCTTTGACACTTTTAAAATTATATGTGCCCACTGTTATATTTTGCCCTATTCTGTCTCTACGTGTTGTGCCGTTAATGTGCATATATGCATAGATGTATTTGGTTTTTTCTTCTTTGATTTTTAGTTCTACCTTTTTTGCACACTCCTATAGTTTGTTAAACATTTCTTGTGTTTTAAAGGTGATACTTTCTACAATGTTGATGTCGTCGGCATACGCCAAAATCATTTGATGTCCCTGGTCAGAACACTTCCGCTTACAAATATCCCAATTGTTTTTCTAAAACACCTACCAAAGTCTACTAAAAACTACTTGCTTAAATTATTTAACATCATTTGGCAACGGTGGCACCAGTACCTATGTGTTGTTCAAAATCTATCACTCTCCTACTTCTGAAAAGCCAAAAATTCTCGTCTGGAACTTGATTTCTATAGACCTGTAAGCCTACCTTGTGGAATCGGCAATCTGTTCAAAAATTATATTAACTCAAGGCTGATTTGGCATCCAGAAAATTCAAATTTATTTATAAATGAACAAAATGAAATAGACGTTATATTAGACCTGCAAAGTTATATTTATGAATCTTTCACAACAAAACAGTATTGTATCGAAGTATTTTTTTTTTACTTAAGACTTTATTCACTACATGTTGGAAATATAACATCTTAAAAAAGTTACAGTCATGGAATATTTGTGAAAAAAATATTCATTTTTTAAGAAGTTTTTAGAAAATAGATCATTTCATGTAAGAGTTAACACTCACTATTTTGTAAAACAAGAGAAAGAACCATCCAAGGTTCAATTATTAGCCATCAACTCTTCTTAATCGAGATTAGTAACAAAAATAGAAACCTTTAAAATCACGTTTATATGTAGATGACTTGGTTGTTTACATAAAAGACAAAGATATTAGTTTACCTTAACAGTTTTTTAAAGTCTCGTCTCAACAGTGGTCTCAACTTACTTCCTCATTACTTTGTAATACTACTGACTCTATAAGTTTCAAATAATTTTCTTCAAGATATTGTCACCGCTGTTCCAGTATTTTCTCTAAATCTCAGTATTTTATACTAACCTCACAATATAATGATACTTATGTTGTCTCTCCAACATCTATCCTAACGCTCGTTGCTACTCCATCATATATATCTTGCAAAATTGTCACATACTCACCGGAGTCTCCTTACATACATACTCCAAAGAAGCTACATGTCCCTATCGTTTGTACATTGTGATATATCTCCCTTGTACAGTAGAGTCTCGGTTATCCGCCATAAACGGGCCGACGGAAGGGCGGATAAGCTGGAATGGCGGATAATAGGGAGGGTAGAAAATGAAACACAAGTTTGGGGCTATTGTAATAACATTGCAATGGACTTTATTTAAGTGCAATAAAAGTGTAATTATGTACTGTATACTTTATGTATATAATAATATTAACAAGATTAAAATAAAACTAGAATCAGTTCAACATTGACTTACATTGGATATTGTAGACATAATGGTTTAGGGTGAACGAAAAAAACTAGTGATTTTCATCTGTCTTGCTGATGTATCTCGTTGTGTTGCTGCCAAGTCTCGCCATCTCTGTAGCATCATAATATCGACAGCTCTGGATTCCTCTTGTTGCTCGACGTATTTTATCGCAGCTTCAAAAATTTTTACTCCTTTGTGTGAAACTTTTTGTGGCTCAACAGTCTCTAATTCTTCGATGTCTTCAACACCTTCACTATTAACAACCGTAACAATTTCTTCATCGGTTATTTCATATTGTTCATTCCTTGAAAACCACTCTCCAACATCACCCAAAGACGCATCCTCACATCCAGGGATACGTTTCACTAAGGGCAATATATTTTCCTGAAGTTCATCCAAAGTGTTGTCAGCAGTTCCTTCATCCTCACACAACAGCTTATCCCAGGACTTAGTAATTGTTTGTGCCCCAACCTTATCCCATGCACTTGAGATCCAGTAGGACACATCTTTCAAGTTAATGGCTTTCAATATAGGGATTAAGTCTCGGCCATCGTTCATTTCTTCTATCATGGTCGATAGAAGGATTCTCCGATAGTTTTTTTTTCAGCGTCTCCAAAACACCCTGGTCCATAGGTTGACAGATAGCTGTGACATTCGGAGGGAGGAAAATGGCCTATGTCCCCATCTTTTAGTTCACTTTCATCAGGATGAGTCGGCGCATTATCTAACAGTAAAACTGCTTTTTTTGGTAAATTATTGTCTTTTAGAAACTTCTCTGTTGATGGTACAAAATCCGAGAAGAACCAATCTTTAAAAATGTCACTGCTCATCCACGCACTTTTCTGATTGCAATATTTCACTGGTAGAGCATGTCTTGAAATTCCCTTAAATGCTCTGGGGTTCTTTGCCTTTCCAATCATTGTGAGTTCCATCTTATGGTTTGACGTGGAATTGCTACATGCTAAAATGGTTACTCGCTCTTTGCTGCGTTTATAGCCAGGAGCTGCTGATTCACTTTTAGCTGCAAGACTCTTATTGGGTAACATTTTATAATTAAGGCCCGTTTCATCGCAATTAAATATTTGATCATTTGTTAAATTTTCCGCCTTAATAAATGCTTGAAACGATTTCTTAAATGTAGCCATTCCTTGAAAGTTTGATGATAATTTCTCACCACAAATAGACAGCTGACGAATCCCGTACCGCTTCTTCCAACGGTCTAGCCAGCCGACACTTGCTGTAAAATCTGCCTCACCCTCTTGAAATTGCTTTTGGAAGTGCAATGCCTTTTCTTTTAAGATAGGCCCGGATATAGGCACTCCCTTATCCCTAAAGTGGACAAACCAAATGTACAAAGCCTCGCTAGTTTTTTCGTAATCACTTTTTTTCATGGATTTTCTGTCTTTCAAGTCGATTTCAGTGGCTCGTGAAGAACACCATTTTTCCAATTCTGATCGGTTTTTCCTCCAATCTCCAACAGTACGACGACCAACACCATAGTCATCAGCCACTCTCTGCGGTGTTTCCCCTTTATCAAGCCTTTTTAATGCATTTAGTTTGTCTCGCATTGATAAGACAATCTTTTTCCTTTTTTGTTTCTCCATAACCACGATCGATTGATAGCAAAGAATAAACTCTTACTCGTAGCGTACGGGCCTCAAAACGGTAAAGCGAACAAATAACCTTACTGTGCATGACTCACTGAAAGGAACAATAGTTGATTCGACGAAAGTGTACTAAATAGCAAATAAAGTAATAAAGTTATAAAAACAGAGTATTTATGACTGGTCTGGGGACGGGGAGGTAAATAATCTATTTTGTCTGGCAGCCTGACACCAAATTCCTACCTGTACAGTCATTGGCGTGTAGCAGATTATTTTCAAAATTATACAAAATTAATTTTTTTTTTCCATAAATGGTGCGGCGGATAAAACGGAACGGCGGATAACCGAAGGGCGGATAATCGAGACTCTACTGTATTTGTAAATAGCTACTAATACTGCTAGTATTGCTTCTACGTTCGTCAGACATTTGTAGCACTTCCATAGTTCTATTTTTTAACCTGTAAACCAACTTATTCCTGTCTCTCCTAAACCTGTTCACAATTATCCATGTGTATGATCTGGTACAACTGGTTTAATTTCGTTTATTTCTTCCTTAGTGTTGCATTAAGTGCTTGCGCAACTTTCTGTGCTATTACTGCATCCATTAGTTCAACTGGGTTTATGTCACATTCTTTATTTAATAAACTGTCAAAGTAGTATTTTATTATTTTCGTCTCAGATACATATAATAGGATTAAACTCTTTTGCTTTTTTTGCTTTATGTTTGTTTATATTGTTACACTTCTTTATGATCTTTTTATTAAAACACCAACCACATTACAATTGCTACCTATCCGATAGTGCCTATCCGTTTCGGATGCTGGCCTCCATCATGGCAATCTTTATTTTGCAAACTGCTACTATGAAAAGATTTGTGGTTGTTGTGTTGAATCACGTACGTAGATTTTTCAGCCAGGAAATCCTTCGCCTTCCTGGTCCTCGTTTTCCTTGTACTTTTCTTTGTAGAGTTAATTGCAACAATCCATATCTTTCGCTGTTCCTCATGATGGTATGAGGATGATATTACAATACTTGTTTAAAAGTTTTACACATTGACATTTAAATTCAAAATTTCAATTACTAATGTTAGTCGAACTGCCAACTTTCTGTGTTTATATACATTTTCTACATTTTCTGTAGTTCTAAACTTTACAGGACATTTCCGAATTTTTCGATGACATCTCGAACATTAGAGATTTTTTTAACACTTTTTCTTCATACAATATCAAATTCCAATATCTGTGAAGCTCAAAATAATGCTAGTCTAATACTATTCTATTAACACTTATATTTAATATTACTTTATACTTTTAATAAAATATACTAATAAAAATTAATGTTTTTAGGTGCGACTTTTACACCCGGCGCTCAAGAACTAAGAATACAGGATTTGCCAAAACGAAAGAAAAAAGTTAATCCTAGTCCTTTAGGAGAAGATGGTAAGATAATCTTGCATGTGTTTTTTTATATTAATTTTTATATTAAAAATTATACTATCTACTTTATATACATATTTGGGCAGCCCAATAAAATATTTATAATAACGATGATATTAATGAGTATTAAATTAATAATAATAACAATAACGATTTATATATAGACAACAGTACACTTGTGATCATTAGTTTTTAGCTGACTTTAGAGATTAGCTTAGATTATCAGTTCTATTGTTGTTCGAATTTTTTTTTATTATTTATTTTAATATTCTTCTCTACGTAAACATTTCAACTGCTTGAGAGTTGGCTCCCATGGACGCAAAGGCAAACGAACTATTGATGCTTCTTTTATTTTTCATTTATCTTTTACCCGCCGGATCGTTTCCTGTCATTAGGTTTTGTAAAAGCGGCGAATAATGATTGTAAGGAGCTGTAACTTTTCCGTTCTGGCAGCACATGGTGAATTTTCCATCCGTTGGCCGTTCTGCGATAAAGTGCTTGGCTGCACAAAATTGGCAGCAAACGTCTATTGCTCCACACGATTGCTCAGTGACTACGTCTTCATCATCCAGAATTGCTTCTACGTCTATCTGCAAGCGATTTTGTGCAACACTCGCCCTTTAGTTGCGTATATTTTTTTGGGAAGTAAGTTATTGTTGTTATCGCTATTCAGGTGTCTCTTATTGCGATCGCTCTTCTTTCATCTCTGCATCTCACGTCAATCTAGCTTGAAAATCCTCAGGAGACGTTACCACTCAGCGTCACGGTCTCTTCTACTACCCTACGGCTTTTTGTGCCAACCCTTCGTATCGTTCTTTCTCAGTCTTCAGATTTTAATGTTGACATTAAGTCACCGTCCCTTCTACTGGCGGCTTCCTCTAGAGCTTCCTGACATTGGCATGCCTTCCGAAATATTGAATCTCAGTCTAGATCACCTTGCCTTTTAACGTCTTCTTCCAATGATCTTTGTGTCCTCTGTGACGCGGATTAGCTTAGCTATATGCATAGCTTCCTTTAGTTCTTCATCAATATTATTATTTTTTGGTCTCACCATATTAGCAGCCAAAATTTTAGGATCAACAAACTTTCAAAATAATTAAAAATTAAATTTTTAAAATAATAAACTCCTTGCATATAAATCAAGTAAATATAAAGTAACATAAAGATTTAAATTATTTTGCTTAATAAATCTTACCTCAAAATTACAGTAATCAATATTTTGGCAATTTTGGAAAAAAATTATTAGTGATGAAGTAGTAAAATTTCTAAGTAAGGATATTTAAATCTTCAATTTATAGAATGAATAAGCAATAAACCAACAGTATCGTTTCAAGAAAAAAATGTGATTGATTAAGACTCAGGAAGTTGAAATCTCAGTTTTGGATAGTTGCATTTGTAACCCTTTCCTGACATTGAGATTCCTCGATGAGCCTATAGCACGCCGTTTCTGTCCTTATCAATTTTTTCCATAGCAGAGACCAGAGCAGTTGTTCTCTTCTGTTCTAGAATTACATATTGGGATTGAATACCATATCACAGCTGCACCGAAGACTTGATATATTTGGATCTTTTTGGTCTACGATAGAGGGCTGAATATATAAGGTTGGATCATACTCTTATCTACCTTTCTCTTGACTTCTTATGTATTTCTGTTTTTTTTTTGTGACGTCAAGTTTTCTAGTAAGATTGACTCCCAGGTACTCGATGACCACTTCTTGGAATTTGTTCACTCTTAATCTTATTTGTTCTCGTAGTGGATTGACCTTGTGTTTGAAGATGAAGAATTGGGTCTTCTACATGTTGATATTGATCATCCATTTATCCACATATTCTGATTTTCGCTCTAGGTGGTTTTCTAATGTCTCTACGATCTTTCTAGTGCTCTTTGCTGCTGTGTAAATTGTTATATGGTCAGCTTGCATCCTCCACATATTTTGAGCTGCTGATGGCAAATAATGAGTTGGTAGTATCTCAGTGTCATAAATTATATTAAAGAGATATCACAATATTTTTTTCCACTTTTATTGTAGCAGTTTTAGTATTCCAATGCGTTTCTGTCTGCTTTTCCATTTTTTACCGTTTGTATTATCCATTTATATATAAATATATGCCGGCTATATCAAGAATGCAACAAAATAACTTTTAGAGGTGCATCACGAAACTATAGAAACGGTGGAAAAATTCTACTACTAAGGATCACTGGTTGACTGCAAAACCAACACATCCAAAGAAATACGAACAGAATATGCTTGACTAACTGCTGATATTTTGGCCTAGGCCCTCAACTAAGAGCGAGAAATATGTCAAGAGAAACCAAGTGCAAACTTTACAAAACAATAATGTGTCTAGTGCTCAATTACGGATCGGAAACATCGTCAATGACGACCCGAGGTGAAGAGTTATTACAAATCTTTGAAAGTATTGAGGATTATGTATGACGGAGTTAACAAACACGGTTTGTGGAGAAGGCGATATAATTTCGAACTCTATAGACTTTTTGGTGATGCAGATTATTGCAGATATAAAAAAACATAAAAAAACCGCTTATGGGGTAGACCGCGTTATGCGGTTTAATGAAAGTGATCTTTCTATACCTAATAACCTCTGGTATCTGGACGATGTGCAGGACGATTTAAGTGAGATTAGAGTAAGGGGATGGAGAAGACAGACACTCAACAGGGAAGGATAAAAGAATGTTTTGAGGCAGACCAGCTCTCACAAAAGGCTGTAGCGCCAACAGATGATGAGGATTGTCAGTTTTACTTCGCTCATTGTTATTGACGAATCTGTATTGGTATAATTGATTCTTTTTTCAGTTAACTTCAATTACAGTTACCAAACGATAGTTAGGTTTTCTGCGTTCATTTTGATTGATTAAAGCATATCAATTATCTTCTGGTGTGACCAAACTCTCAATAGCCCTACTGTAATCAAAGAGCTAGTTCTTATTTCACATATTCTAATATGATTGATGTGGTCGTCAATTGAACCATTGCAGTTTATTTTACGTATATCTTTTTTTCCGTCATTGCCTGGTTATGGTGTTAAATATGATATATAAATCTGCAAAATAATAAACTAATTAAAGCAATTTAAAACTTTAATATGGGGCAATTTTAAAAATAACTGAGATAAGGTGTTCTGACTGAGATTAATTTCTGGTTTAAATAACATTTAACTTGTTACTGGATATCACCGGATGAATGCTTTTAACAACTATGATAATATGATAATGAATTGTTTTAAACATAGTTAAATAATATAAACAAGTTAATGTGAATATACTAAAACTATAAATAAGTGATAACTGCTCAGGAAATGCAAAAACATACTTTAAGACTTCTGATAATATTTTTTACTATATATAGAGACCTTGAAATGGGCTTAAGTATATTATTTATAAACAGTAACGACTGTGTATATAAATTTTGAAAGGCGAAACAGTAAACTTATTATTTTTACTGTTGAAATTTAACTTACCTACTTTATCGTGCCCTGACAAATTATTCATATAATTTCGACCCAGTATCGGGATACATCAGTTCCATCTTTGTTGGCGAGCCACAAATCTTCCAGTGTATGGTGGGGTCGACTACATCATTTTTTTTTAATTGCCGTATTGCCAGCTTCCAGTAGGAGCCTAAGAAGGTATCCATTGAAATCTTTTTTGGACATCTAACTCCACGAAGTAAAACATGCTGGTATCTTTAGGCTGAGTAGGATACTAGGAAACAAGATCCCAGGGTAATGCCGGATTAACTGTGTTGTGGCTAAAACCTTAACCACCGTTCTAGAGAGGTAGTCTTACCACTCAATGACCTATTAAAATAAAAAAAAAAACTAATAACTTATAAATAACCATACCTATTACCGTAAATCAGAAAATATTTCCGTTAGGACACATAAAACAATAAATAATAATAATCATAAATGTCAGATTCCTGGTTCAATATCTTCCCCTGTCCTATTGCTCCTTTTTCTTCATGACCCCAGAAATCAGACAGTGTACGTCTCTCCATTCTTTCCGTCCTCTTACTCTTATGTTTACCATGTTTCTTTCATCAAGCCCGAAACCCATTTGCCTATCGAAATCTCCTCTCTCATTTACCCATCTCTGGCAGTTAAAAATGTGGGCGGGTAAGTCAGATACCCCACAAACAGTACAGTCTACCGAGGCAGATTTGCCTATTCTATTTGTGAAGGTGCCAAAACTACCATGTCCGGTTAGAAGCTGCGTCAGAAAGTAGTCTAGTTTCCTGAACTTACATTCCCACTACGGCTTCAGATTAGGATTAAGCACCTTCTTTCACCTTGCATTTCCGCTATCGTTCGCCCATTCTCTCTGCCACTCCATTATCGTTGTTTTCCTCTCTCTCATCTATATTTCCATCCATCCTCCTCGCATACACCCTCGCTCCCTGCCTGCTTAAGAAAACGATCGGTATCACCGCTCCAATGACATTTAGAGGCGCAATTGAAACCGTCTGAGGAGCATTCGCCTTTGCGAATTCTGCATTAGCTTGACGTATTTAGCAGTGTTCAGTGCGCTACACCACACGGGTAGCGTAGGTTACCACCGACTGGAAAACTCCATTTAGCAGCATTCTTTTGGTGCCTCCAACGTTCATCAATTCAATCATCAGCCGTATCAACGCCTCCAGATTTCAGCTCGCCTTCTTTACCGTCTTTTGAATATGTACTTAGAACCTCAGTCCTTCGGAAAACCAGACTCAAATATACTTAATGGATTTAACCGGTGCAACCTCCACACCTTCCACTATAAAGTGAAGAGAGGCTGTAGATCGTTTTCTCTGATTTACCTACTAATACGACGCAGGGCTCTGTTAGCCGCATAAGCCATGTCCGTTTCCTGTAACCAGTATGAGATCATCGGCATAAGCTACAAGAGTGTATCCCCGGCGTCTGTAGCCTCAACGTCGTACAGAACATTCCACAGGATGAGACCTAGTACTGAATCCTGCGGAACATCCTGCTACAAACTG